TGAAGAAGTTAAAACTAAAAAAAGGGAAGGAAGTATGTATAATTCTTTCAGAACCACAGTATGTGCTTCCACCTGCCAATGCAAATGTAGATAATGTTGTAGTGAAAACGGTCAAGAATTTGTGTTAACAACTGTTTTAAGAGGAAACATTAGTGAAAACGATCAAGAATTTGTGAAGTGAATATCTTTAATCAAATTCTCGATAAATTGACCAATCTCTATCAAACTGACAGTGTGAGCAAACATTTTCAGCACGCCAACTTATCATAGTTCTTGATTAGTTGGCAGACTCGTCATGCATGCGATTTGGAATTTCAATTAGCCCTTGTTTGGTGTAGACCGGTCTCTTTGATTGCATATTATGACTAGAAGCCAAAAGTTCTAAAGCAACGGGAATTCAGATTCAACGAATAACAGCAACAGTGATTAGTTAGCAGACTCGGCTTCTAGTCATAATATGGTATTATGAAAGGGCGGAATTAAAGAATCAAACACCTAAAAGCTGAGAAAAGAAAGTTCTTATCGCTCAAAAGAAGCTGATACCTCTGAGTTATTGTGTAATTTGTCAACGACACCACAAACATTAATAACCAAAGGAGATGAAAACTAAAAACTAAAAAGAAAGAACATCACTGGATTTTCCACATTGACTTGTGATGTAGGCAATTTTACAAAATCCCAATTCCAGTTTCATTAAAGTGAATTAATGATTTTACGGAGTAGAGGTTTCGGGAATGAACCTTTGGGATAAGATTTACTTAACTGGCGCGAGAGTTGTGTAAACTACAAGGAAAGTAACTATAACAAGGGTTATGCTACATGTACACCCTCTTTTTTACATAATCTTTTACCTATACTCACAACAGGTGTAGGGACCACACATTTGAGAGTTTTTTATGGGTTGTGCTATGGGTACATAAGTAGGGGTGTCCACGGGCCCCGCACGCATGTAAGAAAGTGACACATTTTCAGTAACCCACATTCGGTACAAAAAGAATTATCTCTATAACAATAGCTGCAGCTAGAGTAAAACTCGGACTAGTCCATAATGTAAGATTTGACCTCTCTGTTCTTTTGATGGGATCGACCTCCTCGGAAAGTGGAAACTCAAAAAGCCTAGGATTCCAGCTGACATACTTGTTGGGTAAGAAATGGGAGAGAAAGGTCTTTCTTCCTTGTTTCTTGAAGCTTGACCATGCCTTATCCCAATCTGTTGTGTATTTATTACCTATATA